ACATGTTCCAGTTTCCTGGTATTCATTTGTTCAACTGTAAGTTGTTTGTTCAAAGGAGTGACACCATTGGAATCCTTCCCTTCATGTACCATACTTGTGTATATATGCATATGACCCTGTATACATTTACCTATATATTTATAATTTAGATCTAACTTCCATGTATGAGGGAAAATATACATCCTTTGTCTCTCTAAGACTAACAACATAATTTTCTCTAGATCTATCCATTTCCCTGCAAATGATATACTATCCAAGTGGATGAGTAAAACTCCACTATATACACACACATCTCACATTTTCTTATTCATTTGTCCATTGAAGAGCATCTGGGCTGTTTCTATAACTTGTGTATGGTAAATAGTACAGCAGTGAACATGAGTGTATAAGTGTCTTTATTGTATCGTGACTTGTTAAAGTCTAAGAGTTGTTAGTATGTGTGGCAAACTGCTACTACTGGGGACAGTACAATAACAGGAGATTGACTGGCTGTGGAACTGTGCTTTTGGGGCACAAAGAATCTGAAGCATTCTACCAGCTTCAGATGCCTGAAGTCCCTTTAATAAAGTATTTATTGAGTTTGGTAATTCGGAGTCCCACCAGAAAGTAAGGTATCATTGAAGTCTCAAGCACCCAACAGGTGATACAATCTTAATCAATATCTTTGATTCACCAGCACCAACAGGTGATACAATCTTATGTGCAAGTGATAAGTGACTTCCTTAGAGAGTAGAGGTTTGCAGTTAACCACTTAGAATTTGCATGAGCTTTTGTCTACCCCAAGCTGCCTGACAGCTTGAAGCCTGACCAACTCACCTGTCTGGTAGGAATGTGAATCTCTGTTAAGACAGGACTGTTTGATCTTTCCAGGGCAACCGCCAGCATTCTGAGAGTCTTGTTAGAGAATGGCATTCCAATTCTCTCCCTATCAGACCTCATAGTTTGATTACCAGAGATTCCCACAGTATTCCTGGATCATAGGGTAGTGCTCTGTTAGTCTTTTTTCCCCCTAAATTACTATATTGTTTTAAAGATAATACACAGTGGGGTTACCTTTACATATGTCAGGTAATAAGTACATTTTCTATTGCATAGTATCATTCGTTCCCTCATTCTTACCTATTCCTTCCCTCCCCTCTCGACCCACAGATTGCATAGTTCACTTTTCTCCATGGCCTGTGCAGCTAGTGTGCTCCACTGCTGTACTATTACCATTTTTCCTCTGATTTTGTACCCTCCTCTACCCTCCTCAAGATGTGCATGTGAATATACCTTATGTAAGATAAAGAATAGTCATAAGCAAATGAAAAACAAATTAATAAAAAAAGCCCTTTGTTTCCAGATCTTCGGAGTTTGTTTCAGTATATGTATTATATACATCTGAAGAGGCATTTGGGTATTGCACCTTTGTGATTCTCTCCTAAGACTATCCTCTTTTTGTCTCACCGTATGTGAGTATATGGAGTTCTGTGTAATTTCTCATGTCCCAGTGTTGTTTTAGATCTGACTTCCGCATATCAGGGAGAACATGTACCATTTATCTCTTTGGTCTTGGCTTACCTCAACATGATTTAAGTTCCATCCATTTCCCTGCAAATAACATTATTCTTTCTAATGGCTGTGAAAAATTCCATTCTATGTAGGTACCACATTGTTTGGATCCACTCATCTATAGTGGGGCATCTGTTTCCATATCTTGGCTATTCTGAAAAGTGTGGCAATGATCATGGATGTCCTTATCATATCCAGGTCTCATGGTGCTCAGGGTAGATGCCTAGGTGTGATATGGCTGGGTCATATGGAAGGTCTATGTTTAGTTTTTTGAGGAACCTCCAGACTGCTTTCAGAGTGGTTGTACTAGTTTACATTCCTACCAGCAGTGAAGTGGGGTTCCTTTATCTTCACATCCCTACCAGCATTTGTTTTTGTTACAGTTCACAGTGTTGGCCAATCTACCTAGGGTAAAGATGGTATCTCAGGATTGTTTTGTGTGTGTGTGTGTTGTTGTTGTTGTTGGTTTTTTTTGGTCATGAGGCCTGAACTCTGGGCCTGGACGCTGTCCCTCAGCTCTTCAGCTCAAGGCTAGCACTCTACCACTTGAGCCACAGTGCCACTTCTGGCTTTTTTTTCCTGCTTATGTGATGCTGAGGAATCTAACCCAGGGCCTCATGCATGCAAAGCAAGCGCTCCACCACTGAGCCACCTTCCCAGCCCTTAGGGTTGTTTTGAGTTGCATTTCCTTCAGGACCAGGGATGAAGAGCATTTCCTCCTATGTTTCTTTGCCATTCTTATCTCTTCGGAGAAGTTTCTCCTTAGCTCCCTTACCCATTTAGTAATTGGTGTATTAAGTTTGGGAGCGGTTAGTTTCTTGAGCTCCTTGTATATATTGGATATTAGGCATTTGTCTGATATATTTCTGGTAAAGATCTTTTCCCACTTGGTTGGCTGTCTTTCTAGTTCAGTAACTGTGTCCTTAGCTGTGCAGAAACTTTTTATTTTATTTTAATGTAGTTCTACTTGTCAAGTCTCTCTTCTATCTGTTGTGCCCACCCCTGGGACTCTATACATAAAGTTGTCTCCTTTGCATATTCTTCCCCCTATGGTATATCTTTTGTTGTCACTGTATTTGATTTTGCTACCCTTGTATTATATATATGTTTATTTGAATAGGGTAGGGAAAGGGAACAACCGAATGGTGAGACAGAGGACAAGGGGGAACCAATGCAACAGCGATATACACAAGACATTATGTTGGAAATGATCTGTAAATGTGGGGTGGGGGGTGGGTGGGGTGGAGAGGGAAAGTAGGAGAAAAATGAGGAAGGGCACAAGTTTGACAAGAAATGTACTTATTACCTTATGTAACCGTAACCCCTCTGAACATCACCTTGACAATAAAAAAAAAAAAAAGTAAGGTTCTGCCTGTGCCTATAAGTTCTACTGTCTCTCCTCTCTCTTGCAGTAGTTTCAGAGTTTTGGGTCTGACGTTGAGGTCTTTGATCCACTATGATGGTGGCGCATGGTGACAAGTAGGGATCCACTTTCAGTTTTCTGCAGATGGCTACCCTGTTTTCCCAGCACCAGATGTTGAAGAGACTTTGTTTTTTTTTCTACTGCATGTTTTTTACAGATGACTGTACGTAAGTGACTTTATTTCTGGGTCTTCTAATTTGTTCCATTGATCTTTGGGTTTATTTTTGTGCCAATACCAAGCTGTTTTGTTATTATGGTTCTGTAGTAGAGTTTGAAATCTGGTATTGTGATACTGCCTGCATTGCTTTTTTTTTTTTCCTAGAATTGCTTTGGTTATTCTAGGTCTTTTGTTGTTCCATATGAATTTTCTTTATTGTTTTCTCTTAGTAAATAACATTGGGATTTTGATGGGGATTGCATTGAATTTGTATATCATTTTTGGCAGTATGGACATTTTTACAATATTGATTCTACTTGTCTATGAACATGGTAGGTCTTTCCATATCTTGGTGTTCTCTTTGCTTTCTTTCTTTAGATTTTTGTAGTTTTGGCTATAGAGATCTTTTACATCTTTGGTTAGGGTTTTTTTTTTTTTTTGAGGTTGTTGCAAATAGGGTTGTTTTCTAATAATTTCCATTTTACCTGTTCATTGTTGGCATACAGAAAAGCTACTGATTTTTCTGGGTTGATTTTAAGTCCTACTACTTTACCAAAGTGGTTGTTTAGCCCTAGGAGGTTGGGGATGGAGTTTTTAGGGTCGGTTAGGTATAAGATCATGTCAACTGCAAACAGGGATAGTTTGATTTCTTCTTTCTCTATGTAGATCCCTTTTATGTCCTTTTCTTGCCTGATTGCTTTTGCTATGAATTCCAGAACTATGTTGAAGATAGTGGAGAAGAGTGGGCATTCTTTCCTTGTTCCTGATTTTAGGGGAAGTGGTTTTAGTTTTTCTCCATTGAGTATGGTGTTGGCTGTTGGTCTGTCATATATCACTTTTATTGTTTTAAGGAATGTTCCTTCTATTCCTAGTTTCTCCAGAGCTTTGAACATAAATGGATGTTGTATTTTGTCAAAGGTTTTTTACTGCATCTATTGAGATGATCATGTGGTTCTTGTCCTTTGCTCTTTGATGTGGTGAATTACATTGATTGTTTTGCATATGTTAAACCAGCCTTGCATCTGTGGGTTGAAGCCTACTTGGTTATGATGTATGGTTTTTTAACAAAAATTTGTGTCTGAATTCTGTTGGCTAATGTTTTATTGAGGAGCATTGTATCAGTGTTCATCATGGAAATTGGTCTGTAGTTTATGAGTTTGTCTGTTCCATCTGACTTCAAGCCTCAATCTTTAGCTCTTAGACTACTGAGTAGCTAGGATTACAACAGGCCTGAGCCACTGCTTACAGGCCAGGACACAATTTATTTTTAAATAAACATATTGTATATTGTATCAAGTATTTCAGCAAGGTTGCTAAATTGACTTTCATGTATTTCTAGGATTTTCTGTATACAATCATGCTTATCTTTCCTACCCATTCTGATTGTTCTTTATTCCTTGTCTAATTTCCTTGGCCAGAGCCTCCACTACAATATAGACTGTGAGTGGCTGTTTATTGCCATTTTTATGAAAGGATCATAAAGTATAAAATACTTTTTATTCCCCACTGATTATTCTGTATCTAGTATCACTATTCTGATCTAGTATAAAAAACATGGAACTTGGTTTTTTTAATTGATTGAATAGTTTCAGCCCCATGCTGGTGGCTCACCCCTGTAATCCTAGCTACTCGGTAGATTGAGATATGAAGATCAAGATTTGAAGCTAGCCTGGCAGGAAAGTCCATGAGACTCTTTATTTCCAATTAATCAGCAAAAAAATCCAGAAGTAAAGGTACGGCTCAAGTGGTAGAGCACCAATTTTGAGTATAAAACAATAAGGGGCACTGCCCAGGTCCTGAATTTAAGTCCCAGTATTGGCACAAAAAAATAAAGATCAGTTTCCCAATTTCTCCTTTTTTCTTTTTCAGGTTTTCTCAAACAATGATGAAGGCCTTATTAACAAAAAGTTGCCCAAAGAACTTCTATTAAGGTAAGTAGAGAGAAATTTTAGATAATGAGTTCAGGTTTGGTTGAGTCCTCAGAGTTCAAGACTGTCTTCTTGCTCTGTGGGTCCAGAGCAGGAAAAAGAGCCAGACTTATCCTAACTTTTTGTTTTTATAGAATACTTTTATAGAATACTGTTGAGCTTGTTGTTAATTTTCTCTAATACAGAATGTACTCAGTATGTTCATAGCATTGATTTGAATTCTTTTTGTTCTGTGGTAAGTATTGTAGTAATCTTCAGCAGGTGCTTATGTTTGGGTATGAGTACATCATTGTAATGTAAGGTAGGATAGGCTAACTGCTCAAGTTATGAGCTCCAAAAGTCAGACTTCAGATGTTTTCTGAGAAATGTATTTTAATGGGGATGGGAGGTAAAAAGTGGGAAAGAGCAAAGGAAGGTATGACATTGCTCCAAAGAAATACACACATTATCTGATATGAAATCATAACCCTCTGTACAGCACCTTAATAATAGTTATGTTGGGTGCTGGTGACACATGCCTGTAATCCTAGGTACTTAGGAGGCTGAGATCTAAGGATCGTGGTTCAAAGCCAGCCTGGGCAGGAAAGTCCGTGACCCTCTTTACCTCCAATTAACCACCAGGAAACTGGAAGTGGAATTGTGGTTCAAGGTGCTAGCCTTTAACAAAAAAGCTCAGGGACAGTGTCCAGGCCCTAAGTTCAAGCAAGCCCCAGTACTGACAATAATAATGATAAGAACAACAACAATTAAAAGATAGGTTTTAAAATGTAGAAGTTAACTGCAGTTAAATAAGTGATCTTAATGCTTAAATGCCATCAGCCCAAATACTGATATATTTTTGTCTACTTTCTGAGAAAGATATGTAAAGTGATAATGCATACTATAAAAGTGCCCTTTGTCTTTTATTTGTAGCATCATTGGATACATGGTAAATGTTATTTTCATTTTCATTTAACCAAATAACACTATGAACTAATTGTTGACTCTTAGGCTTTGTAGGTTTTAGTATTCTGTGCTCATCCAAGAATCTTATTTTAGCTTTGGATTACATGGTAATCATTGGCAATCTTTGGCATTTCCTTTAAAATGATTTCTCTTATAACTGTATCCCACAAAACAAAGAAACAAGTTCTGTGATCAAATAAGAATGGGAAGCTCCTGGGCTGGGAAAGTGGCTCAGTGGTAGAGTGCTTGCCTTGCATGCATGAGGCCCTGGGTTTGATTCCTCAGCACCACATAAGCAGAAAAAAAAACCCGGAAGTGGTGCTGTGGCTCAAGTAGTAGAGCACTAGCCTTGAGCTGAAGAGCTGAGGGACAGCGCCCAGGCCCAGATTTCAGGCCCCACGACCAGACCCCAAAAAACAACAACAACAACAAAAAAAACAAAAAAAGAAAGAATGGGAAGCTCTAGGTCAACAAAACCAATGTCATTACCACATGATTTCATAGAGAACAGGCATTGTGTATGGTGATGCTCCAGTGTGGGTAGTTGTGGCATTCAAACCTATTGACAATGGAATCTTTTCACTATTCTAATGAAAATTTCTAGAAAAAAAAACAGGACATATAGTAAAACATAGGCCAGATGAAACTATTCCCTGGCCATACTTTTTTTTTATTGGTTGTGGGGCTTAAACTCTAGGCCTGCGTGCTGTCCCTCAGCTCTTCAGCTCAAGGCTAGCGCTCTACCACTTGAGCCACAGTACCACTTCCCGTTTTCTGGTGGTTAATTGGAGATAAGAATCTTGTAGACTTTCTTGCCCGGGCTGGCTTTGAACCGAGATCCTCAGATCTCAGTCTCCTGAATAGCTAGGATTACAGGTGTGAGCCACCGGCGCCCAACCCTGGCCATACTCTTTTTGTATGTATGCCAGTACTGTGGCTTGAACTCAGGGCCTTGTGCTATGCCTTAGTTTGCTAACTCATAGCTGGTGCTATATCAGTGAATAATGCCTCTAGCCCATCTTTTTTGATAATTAATTGGAGATGAAGTCTTTCAGACTTTTTTTTTTTAACCTGGGCTGAGTTTGATCCTTGATCCTCCAGGTATCCTTGATACCTCCTTCTTGGTAGCTAGGATTATAGGTATATGCCACCCGTGCTGACTAAATTTCATTTTCACATTGTAAGAATGAGTATGAGTTTTGGTTAAATATTGAGAGTAATTTTGTCTTCCCTAGGTCACTACAGTTATCCTATAATGCCACATAGCATCCTTTCATCTTTTCATCTTGGGTTACCAGCAGGGAGACAACTTGGCTTTGTTGGGCAGTGATCACATTCTGGGGCTTTGGAGTATTTCAGTTGTCATGAGCTCATTCTTTTCACTTAATAACAAAGAAAACTAGCACAGTAATCCTAGCTACTCAAGAGGCTGAGATCTGAGGATTACAGTTCAAAGCCAGCCTGGGCAGAAAAGTCTGTCGCCAGTTAACTAGCAAAAAGGCCAGAAATAGAGCTGTGGCTTAAGTGGTAGAATATCATCCTTGAGCTGAAAAGCCCAGTGAGGGTGTGAGGACGAGTTAAAGCCCCATTGTTGGTGCACGCATACACAAATAGAGTAAGTAATGGAGGAAGGAAGAAAGGACGAATTCAAGGCCTCATGTTGGTGCACACATACACAAATAGAGTAAGGAATGGAGGAAGGAAGAAAGAAAGAAAGAAAAAAGAAAAGGAAAGAAAAGAAAAAACAGGATTATGTGAAAATGGCTAATCATTTTATTACAATAAGATAGTTATTTGAATGAGAGAATACTCTTTGGTATTTTAAACCATTTTAAACCAAGTGGTGACAAGGAAGGAATGTATGTATGTATGCCATATAAGCCTAAAAGGTCGGTATTGGAAGCAGTGTGTATGAGCCAGGGGTGGACAAGTTTTCGCAGTGCAGCTACAAGGGTCACCCTCCAAACAGACCACTCTGTGGGTGGTGTCTCTAGAATTACAAGGTGCTTCTAGCCTCAGTGTGAACATGCATGTGTCTAGCACAGGCCTCAAGTTGCTGTGCGAATATTCATCCTGACTCTGAGGAATTGTAACCAGCTTCAGGCAGCCAACATATGAGTCATTCACTGTTAGGAATGAGTAAACCACCTTCTCATTGGTACTGCCTCCATGTGTAACGTAAGGTTGCTAACTAACTGAATATTTCCCCTTGTGGTGGGGTTAGCTTCTGTACTCATCCATGGAATAGTTTCTATCAGTTGATATGAAAACAACAACAACAAAGCCAAGGAATTATATCACTTTCTATGGTAGTGCTGTTTTGGAATTGTACCCTTAGACGTTTCTGTTGTCTTGAAGATCTATGGTAATCTTTGTCATGAAGAATCCTGGTTATGATTTTGGAATCATGACAGAAGGCTTAGACCTAGACCTTTTTTCTGAAAGAATCACCATTTCAGAGCAACTGTTCACAACATATCTTTCCATAGGTGTGCATTTCCACTTTTGTTCTTAGTTTGGAATCTGTAAGGGCAAATTAAAATGTAATGTATTGCCAAGACAAGTGTTTGCTGATTTGTAAGTCTCAAAATTAACTCTCACCAACGATGGTATTTCAGTTCAAATTTTATTTATTTGCTGCCTTTGAAGTCATTTCTGCCATTACATCATAGACTTTCCATTCGCAGTAAGAATAACTTTCTCCTTTCATGCTACCTCCCTCCTTCCCTTTTTTTTTTCTTTGTGATGGTACTGGGGATTGAACTCGGCTTCGGAACTGTATCTTAGCATTTTTGCTCAAGGCCACAGCTCCACTTCCAGCTTTTTGTGTGTCTCTGTGTGTGTTTAACTGAAGAAAAGGTTTTCACAGACTTTTCTGCCTGGGTTGGCTTTGAATTATGATCTTCAGATCTTAGCCTCCTGAGTAGCTGGGATTACAGGTGCGAGCCACCATCACCCAGACATCTACCTTTCTAACCATACTTTGAAGAAAGGTTTTGTACCAGGCTAGGCAGCATACAGCCATCTTCACAATACGTAATTCCACTACAGGAAACACCACATGCTCCCATCTCATAGATCTTCACTCCTGATTATGATGCCCTCATAATTTTGGTCTTCATACTTTTTGTATTACAGCCTTCTTTGTGATGATGACTATTCATTCTGATCTGTGTTCCTGTTCTCTTTTGCTCTCACTTCAGCAGTAGCTAATTTCTCTGATGTTATAATAGTCATTTGCTTTCAGTCAAGGCCACGTTCTCTTTTTGCATCTTTTTGCCCTCTTAACATTTACATTCACATCAGGTGAAGCCTCAGCTTCCCCTTTGGGACCATCAACAAACATAACCTAGAACAATGTGCTGCTTTTCATCTTTAACTATCACTTTTTTTCTGGAGGCAGGGTGTTGCTTTGGTACCCCATACTGGCTTTGAACTTATGATTCATCTCATGATTTACTTCCTCCACCTTCCAAATACTGGGATGTGCTAGCCACCACATCCAGCCTTCCACAATTGATTTTGAATTCACTAGAATTATCTGATTATTGCTAACATTAAGAATGCTTAATGTTATTCACATATTTATCTTACTCATTTTTAGTTTGTTGCTAAGTTCTGTAAGTTTACCTTTTCTACCCAGTTTTTACTCATAAACTAAATGTGCCAAGTTCTTTCTGCCCTTTGAACTCACACAGCTCTATAAACAAACTTTCACTTTCCCTGGGAAGTCAGTTATATACTGATCATAGTGATAGGAATATTTGTTGTAATCTATATCAGTAACATAGATGGCCTAATTGTCTACATCACTATTGTCTATATTATTTTTGGTGCCAAATTTTCTTTTTTTTTTTGGGTCCATTCATGGGGCCTCAACTCTGGGCCTGGGCACTGTCCCTCAGCTCTTCAGCTCAAGGCTACCGCTCTACCACTTGAGCCATAGTGCCACTTCCGGCTTTTTTCTTTTTGCTTATGTGGTGCTAAGGAATCGAACCCAGGGCCTCTGGCATACAAGGCAAGCGCTCTACCACTGAGCCACCTTCCCAGCCCCTGGT